AACTGTCACGCAAAGTGGATTCGAAAAAGATCAAGCACAGAGCTTACGTTTTCCCAGTATAAGTCATATGCTATGTTCCCCTCCATCATCAAATCTTCATGCACAGCATCATTTCGGTTAACCTGAGGTATTTCTTCAAAAACTGGTCCCGGTATGGTGGTATGAAAAATCATGTCTTATGTTGCTGGCTTCGGATTTGAGATAATGAGAGGCCCAACATTGTCTCCAGTGGCCTCATTATGCTTCATGTGCGCGCCATCGCACAATGGGAATGTCCCGCTTTGCCTGTTTTCACATTTTAAATTAAACGCATACACACGTGAATGATAACATCGAATATATTTTTTTGTCGTTGACTGACGTCTACTCCTTCATCAACTTACCAGCAGCGGCAAAATACCTTCTTCTCGCCAGGAGCAAGCTGAGTCATGGTCACAACCTTGGGATTCTCCAATTCCACTTTTGTGTTTATCTTAGACTAAAAAGATGAACGAGAAGCGTCGTCTAATGAATATGCGTTACTCTTCGAAGTTCCTCTTTCCTAGATCATTTTTAAATAAACATCTTTCACCTCACTCGTTGCGCTTTCGTACGTGTTTAAATCGTGCAGCTATAACACGTAAATAAAAGTCCCGAACCCGAAAAAGATATACTTACCCCTAGCTCAAGTGACCTTCTGCCAACGGACGGCTTGAAAAAGGCGTCGGCGAAAGATGCGAAGAGGAAAAGAAACACGAATGCGCGGCAAAGTTTCATGTCGTTTGTTGTCAGAAGTGGGCAAATTATGCCCCAGGCCTGCGGTTGATAGATTTGGTTATTATTGGAGAGTTCTCGATATAAGATCAACGCCGCGTGTTGCTTCAATGCACATTTTATCTCGTATTCGCACTAGGTGAAAGGACGACCTAACTATTTCGGGGTGAGTACATACAAAGCGCTGGCTGATGTAGTGAGTGAAGCCATGTCCCACTGATGCTCCGAGCAAGCCGCCTGATGCCGTCCCCCGTCAAGCCCGTCAAGAAGTCCTCCGGGTATCAGCCGCCCATGCTCATCTCACGTCTCCGGAGTGTACGCCACCATTACTCCCTTCTCCCCACCCTACTCGACATTGTATTTTACCATGAAGTGGCCGCACATAATGCGACTTAAGTAAGTTGGGTCGTTCAAAATTCTGTCCTGTCAGAACTGGTGGTGTGATCATTGTTTCCCCCCTTCTTCAAATCGAGGGAGGTCACGCGAGCGTTGCGTGCACTGTTACGTATAAAAAGCAACCTCACACCGAAATTAAGGTCACTTCTGAGAGGTATGAAGGCCTTGAACTTCCTAAGTGATGTTGAATCTATATCTATGAAAGTCGAAAGTGAGTAATGTTTAGAAAGTAGTTTTAGGAAGAAGATTTCAAAAATAAAGACTCCATTCAACGTCAAAAAGTATGATGTTGCAAGCTCTATTTATAGAAAGGCAATTGTTTTTGATGCCAGCTTGACAAAATCAAGTTGCTGTACAAAATGAAACGAGTGTCCGCGCAGCAATTTTACATTGAGACAAATTGAGTGGGTCACGACTTCCGTGATTTGTGAATACATAAGCTTTCCTTTCAGTGCAGCCTAGTTTTAACTTGTGAATTGAATTGAAGGAGCTTCCACACTGCAGAGAAAGGAAGCCAACTCAGAAGCATCGGTGAATGTGTCTAAAATCCAGCTCATGACGACCGTTCCATGTCCATGTAACCTTAATCGATGTCCTGAAATCGCTGTGGATTGCCGACACTTAAAAGCTTCCACGCATTGCTGTGTTTTCATTTTATCATCTGTAACTCGCAGTTTTGTATCCTGAGAACAAAATGGTGCAACTCTGTTCGTGGATACCTTTTGAGCCTGTCCAGAGTGGGAAGCCTGCTGCGCGTTTCCGACATCGGACGGCGATGTGCGGCATTTCGAAGAGCGCATACTCCATGCACGATTCATTGACGCGCCGAGCACGATCTCTTCTTCGTCCACGCGTATTTCTTGTCGATTGGAGCTTTCGTAGTTTTGTGAGAAAGTTCCAGATTCATCCCCATCTTCAAAAAAGAAGCCGTGTGAGGTGGGTCTCGCATCATGGTCTTGACCCGAAAATGAGTTTTCATGATGCCGTCGCAGAGGTGGGCTAGGCATTGACCCATCTCCGCGAAAAACAAGTAGTCCCTTTGCTGTCCGGCGAGCTTCTTCTAAAGTTCTACCAACACCAAAAGTAAGACGGTAGCCAAGCAAGCGTTTTAACTCCGCTCGAAGAAATCCGCCCAACTCTTTCGCTTGCTCTATTTCCCCCAGGTACGATGGTCTCGTGCAATCATGTTCGGAAGTCGGCAGCGCGACGCTGTACTCGCCGAACTGCCCATCTCCAAAGTCCTCAACGAGCGTCAACCCGTCACCCTCCACGACGCGACGCAGCAGCTGAACGGGACCTTTATTGGCAACGTTTTGATATTCTTGCAGCATAGAAGTAGACCGCGATCTCCATGAAGCAGCAAGGACAAGTGCAACATCAGGAAAATGTCGCATTATGAATCCTAGGGTCATATTCTGCCGAATTCCTGAGTTGAAGGCTTCGGCACTATAATCCAAAGGTGTCAGTGAGTCATCCTCAGATTCTTGCTGTTCTTTTGCTTCCAAAGTGTCTACAATGACAAAGGCACGGCCAATAAGGGATGGATTCATGTGCTCCTCTATCTGAACGAAAAGATGCTCGAGCTTGAGAAGAAGGTGGACAGATGACCTATGGGTAGGATGTGCTACAGGCGAAGAGCATGTTGATGCGAACATCGATAACATTTTTCCACGTAGCAGTCCTTAGGTTTCCGATTTCTCTAATCTGGCCCCTTGGCCGCAATGGAGAATCGCCTCCTTGCTACCTGCCTCTTTCCCTGACGGGGCCGTGTTGCCGCGTTCAGTTTGTTTCGTCGCAAACACACAATCGATAAGAGAGAAACTTCCAAAAGCTTGGCCCAGCCGTGATTTACTTAATCGCTTGAGTCACCTGTGGAGAGATGATGCGGGATGTAGCGTTCGAAATGCTGCATAAGCTCCCCTTTTCCAACACACGAAGTATGGCAGCTCACGGTCGGGGCGTCAGCTGTCGCCCCATTTTCCATTCTTCGACTTGCTCGTCGAAGTCCCAAGCACTTCGACCGGAGCCCGCTGTGCGCACTGCAATTCGGAAATCAGGCATAGAGCTCCCCATCTTCTGTATTTACGCTTACAGCACGTCATGTGACATCCTTTCCGGTGCATCTTCATCGCAAAATGTACCGCTATTCTGCAGGAGCAGGTCACAAGGATATGCCGCAAGAGACAAAGCATATAAATTTTCTTTGGTGCTCTCTTGCAGGGCTGCGGTGCCTCCGCGTCGTACCCGTACATACAATGTACGACAAAAAAAGGGTCGACCAATATGCTGACATAGATGAGAACGGCTATTTAAAATGGCTCCCAAAGCCCATGCCGTCTGTGTCTTTGAGCCGTGCGTGTATTTCGCTTCCAGCACACGAAGATACTCCAAGCCCTGATAGTGGTGTTCCCTTTGTAGGAGACATATGTTTACAATTGGAGGATCCTATGAGCAACCTGATGTGCCTCCCGTGGCGACCTAAGCATTTTATGGGGGCTGTTCGCATGCTCGATCCCATCTCCCATGCTCCATGGTCTCTCTGCCCACGCAGCTGTCTCGCTCGTATTTTGGAGAAAGCTCAGGCCCGACACGGTATATCCTTCCGAGTAGGATTCGAATTAGAATTTGCCCTCGCCACAATTGACGGGAAGTTTGATGACAGGCATACCTATTCATCCGCTAGAGGTTTCGACGTGGAATCGTCCCTCCTGGACGATTTGTGTGACACTCTGTATTCAATGGGAATAGTTGTGGAACAACTTCATAAGGAGAGTGCCCCCGGACAGTTTGAGTTGGTGCTTGGTCATTTGCCTGCCATGGAGGCCGTCGACGGACTGCTACTTGCACGTGAAGCCGTGGCGGCAGTCGCGTATCGTCACCAGCGACGTGTCACCCTCTTGCCCAAGTTTCTGCCAGAGTACGCTGGCAATGGCTGCCATGTTCATTTGAGTTTATGGAAAAATGGAATCAACATTCTTTCGCTTTCTGGAGCGACGATTCGTCCAGGATCCCTCGACGGTGTGCTAGATATGTACACTACATTGAGTGGTTTTTCATCACTTAATGAAACTTTCCGCCAATTTCTGGGCGGTCTTGTAGCTCTACTTCCTGCACTTATGTGCTTCACAACCCCGACTCCGAATTCTTTCAGGCGACTGCAGCCCGGGGCTTGGGCAGGGGCATTTCAGGGCTGGGGAATCGCTAATAAGGAGGTGCCGCTCCGTTTGCCCGTACAAACACTTGAAGACGGGCTTTTTACTAATGTTGAGGTCAAGTTATGTGATTCGACTGCAAATCCCCATATAGCTCTAGCAGCAATTCTAAGTGCCGGCCTGGTCGGAGTAGATTTGGCTGCAACGTTATCCGAGGCAGATTTCGCGGAGTCCTTCGCAGCTCTCCCCGCACCGCTGGATGTAGACCCGGGACAGCTGACATATGCCGAGCGGACTCGCCGTAAGATAAAAGAGTTGCCTCGGGAATGGTCAACGGCTAAAGCATGTCTAATGAGTCCAGAGGGAAAAGGACTCCGAGAGTTATTGGGAGAGGACATGGTCAGAGCTTGCGTAGCGATTCGCGAAAGCGAGTGGGCAGCTTTGGGGGGTATACGGCTTGAGGAAGAAATCGATCTACTCTTTGACCGATACTAGTTGCCTTATGTTCAAATCGATTATGATGTAAAAGGACCATGAGTGGGACAATCAGATCGCAAGAAAGAAATTATCACGGCCTCAGCGCGCGTAACCTCCTGCCAGGATAAGCACTCTGATACTCCAACGGTGACATGAGTCGCATCCGCTCAGCATCTTTTAAGCCGTTCTCAACGAATATTATGTTTCCGGGATATTTGTTGTAGGGTATTTGATGCTTTTGAGAGGAAAGCAGGCATACCTGAAGCCGCTTTTCGTCGGCTGCTTCTTACTACCTCGCCTCGCTTCCACGCCGCTGGCATTTTTGAGGTCCATGTCACCAGCCAGCAAGCATCTCAGAAATGAGTCCCGCATTCTGTCTCCGCCCACAACGCATAGATATGGTAAGTGTTTACCTAATAAAAGCGGCCGCGATATAGTGTCGGAAAGGTCTAAATTGCAGGAAGGATGGCAGTGGAAAATTTACACGCTCATTCTCTCCTGCACTTTGATTCCAACTGATTCTTCATCTATTCGTTCTCGATTTGAAGATGGTACGGATAAGTATTCAAGAGCATGCAATCAAGCGTGCCACGAAGAGGGACCTCGCCTGTCAGAAGCATCTACAAGACAAGTGGTCCTTTCCACCTTTCCTGCACGACCCTTCGAGCCTTTGCCTTGGGTCACAAATGAGCACTGGCAAACAATATGGGGCGCCAGAGTTATTCAAGATACGATGCTTAAGAAATTTGCTTCTGAGTCCCTGCCGAAGGGATGGCAGGACGTGTACGACAGGCGGGAGCGGTGGGATACGCCCGACGGAGATTTCTTTCATGTGGACTTTCTTTTTAGTCACGTGCCTCCTTCGGGCCCTCCCTCACAACCTCGACCTATGGCTATTGTACTACACGGACTAGAATCTACTTCCTGGGCAATCCTACCCAGATCAATGGCAAAAGCCTTTGCGCGACGGGGCTTTGATGTCCTAGCTCTCAATTTCCGTGGTTGCTGCGGCACGGAGAATCTTAAAGCTTACTCATATCACTTGGGTTTTACAGATGACCTGAAATTTGCCATTCAGCGCTTGTTTGCTGAGGAGCCGCGACGCCGCATATACCTCACCGGCTTCTCTCTGGGAGGGAATGTGATCCTTAAGTGCCTGGGAGAGCTCGGGGAAGAAGCAGCAAGCATGGGTGTACAGGGGGCTGCCGTCGCATGTGTGCCCTTTGATGCCGTGCGATCTTCCAGCAAAATCGACACCGGCTTCAATCGTTGGGTGTACGCGGCCAACTTTCTGTCAACATTGAAGGTGAAAGCAGCAAAAAAATATGAGACACATCAACGGCACCGGGAAGGGAAAGGAGTGGACAAGGAGCTGTATGACCTGGATCGGGTTTTGGCCTGCTCCACCATAGGCGATTTTGACGACGAGGTTGTTGCGAAGTTGCACAATTTTGAGGATAAAATAGATTATTATCGACAGAGCTGTTCAAAGCAGTACCTTCCATTAGTACGGATTCCCGCATTGGTCATTAACGCCCGGGATGATCCATTCATCAATGAAGCGGGATTACCTACCCCGGAAGACGTCGGAGATGGGACGGTTCGCTTGATTTACCACAGCTATGGAGGACATTGCGGTTTTCTCACAGGACAGGAAAAAACGAGCCATGAGGACGAGCGGTGGCTACCCACGGAGCTCGCACGATTTTTAGAACATGTAGATCGACCATTCCGCGAAGCGAAATGTGAAAGTTGACAATGCATGTTGAGCGTTGTTTTTTTAAAAGCCATGGACATTCGGTTATGATCCTAAGAAAGCAAAATTGATGGGAACTTGCGTCACAGATTTTGATGGCAGGTAGCTTTACTTCGCGCTTCCTTCGAGTCGGTCGTCGTCTCTATCGCACGGGCCATTTTCACCCATGGGTGAAACCTTAGAAAGCAGTGCGCAACAGTAATGTGGGGCAAACAATAGCGGACAGCAGCACTGACAAGCGCACATGGAACAGAAGGCAAGGATGAACAGTGCGACGGCGCTTAGCATGTAGGGTAAATAGGATTTGTCGTTGTCTGGATCTCGTCCATTCTCAAAAGCGGACACGACAGAAAAATCATTTGTGGTCACATTGAATTGTTGCTCCGTGATAAGACATCCTTTTGTGTGGCTAGATCCTCCTTTCAGAACGTGCGCTTGAAGGCAAGGACCACCGACCCCATCGTAGACGGTGATCGTAATGTAGTCATTGACGCGCGGGACAGTTGAGGCGTAGGTCAGGCCATTAAGCAAGGACTCCAGATTCAAGGGCAGAGCCACAAACATCAACAAGCTTGACGTTTTTTTCAAGCAGTTGTTGGAACAGTACTTGGCAGACGTGAAGTCGGCCAGCCCGATGAAGGCGTCATTTAAACGTATACGCCCGTATGTGCACGCAATTCTCACCAAGATGGGATCGACACCTAGGTCTGGATCATGCACCGACACTCCCCGTAAAATTACCTGCGTTGGAAAATCTCCAGTGTGCGTGACATTGTTGATGCTTATGGTGGCGTAGATATTGTAGTTATGCGTGGTCAACTCCAAGGAAGTTGGATCGTTTTCATTGCGAACCACAACTTTCTGTTCCTCAGAAAATGATGATGGCAGCGCAAATGATTTATGAATTCTTGCAAATGTACATGACACAACCCGAAACTTAAAGCCGTCTTCCAGTCCGCTTTCAGTGAACAGTGCGGTGCCGTTCCACGTACGATTTGGCCATGTAAAAAAACCAGCGTCAGACATGTAATGGAGCGTAACACCCACGTCGTAGGGAGGGCTCGACGTCTGCTCCGGTAGTTGGAACGGCACGGAGTCCAAGGAGCTGACCGTTCCATTCGCGGCAA